AGATTATTAATTTACATGCAATTATTAGGAGGTATAGAATTTGATTACTTCATGGAAGGTTTACACAGAGCAGGAGAGCTTAAAAATTATATTAATAAATTATTTGAATTTCGCACTAATGGTTTAAAGTATTTTCATAGTGTTCCAATGTTCCAAAAATTAAGTAAACTTAGACAGGAAAATGAAAAGGAAAGAAAACAATATTTAAATAATCCCGAGTATAGTTGGAAGACTATATTACCCGGATGTAACATTAGTTTTAATAATTCTATGTCAAATACAATTTCACAACGAAAAGCGGCACCACCACTTGCAATTAAAGGTCTTCCAGGATACGAAAAATTAACCCCGGCTGAAAAAGAACTTTGCTCAATTACGCGTATAGTTCCTACCAATTATCTTGATTTTAAACAAATTTTAATAGCGGAAAATAAAAAATCTGGTTGCCTTAGATTGGCACAAGCTAGAGTTTTACTTAAGATTGACGTAAATAAAACGCGAAAAATATACGATTTTCTTACGGAGAAAGGATATATAAATAAACCGAATCAATGACATGCATGTTAATATAACTAAAATACGTAAGTTTTGTGCATTATTACTTCGTAAGTATATATTGGATTGTGATATTACATATTAAGAATTTAAAAAATCGACTGAAAATAATAATGTATTATTAAAATTACGCACAGATTAATAATATACAATATACATACATGTAAATATATGATATTTTGCTTGCAATTTGTATATTATATAAATAATATAATAAAATGTATTTTATAAAATATATAAATACTTATATAATAAAATTTGTGAATAAAATTTAGAGCAAGTAGTATTTAATTTAAAATATACCTAGAAATGAATGAAAGTAAATAATAGGATATTGCCGATTGTATAAACGATATGACAATTTAATAAATGTGTTATTTATAATTTTTTTTTTCTTAGAATTTGAAAACGCAGAGACTCTTTTAATTTCGGAAGTGTATATGTTATTGGAGCATAGAAAAGCACAAAATGAATCAGCAGAAGAGGAACAAGAATTTTCCGAAGTTTTCATGAAGAGTTTAACATATACGAATAGATTTCGCCGATTTAAAAATAAAGAAACAATTGCTGCTGTGAGAAAGTAAGCGCGATTACGTCTTTATAATTAATAAAAGATTCAAATTCGTAAACTTTCATTTTTTGAAATGAAAAATATTCATATTGTACAAATTTATAGAAATTTGTATGTTTTAGCTTGCTTATGCAGAAGAAACTTCATAAGTTTGAGTTAGCTTCGCTCGCGAATCTTTGTCCGGAAACTCCAGAAGAAGCGAAAGCCTTGATTCCCAGTTTAGAAGGACGATTAGAAGATGAGGAACTTAGAACAATATTGGATGATATACAAACAAAACGATCTTTACAATATTAAAATATAATTCAAAGTTATCATTTCTCTGTGATCATTTCGTATAACTTTCAATAAAATTTTATTTAACTATGTGTCCGATTTTTATCTATAATATACATATACATACATGTGTGTAGTACATATTCGCATATTAAAGTTTGTCTACAGAGAATATTCAAATGATCTCTAATAGAATATCAAAATAAATGTAATATTTTTCTAAAATTCGACAAAATAGATTGATTTTGAATCTAACTAATATATAGAAATTTCATTCCAGCATTGGACAAAGGATTAAACGAATCTTGGAAAAAACGGCTAATCTTTCTAATGGCAACTATGGCATTATCATCGGATAATTACATATAATTGACTGCATGCGAGAATGGATCTTCATTATCATTACATTATTTCGTTGAACAACTGTTAAGTCGCTTTCAATCTTGTTTCTTTTTATTGAAAAATAAAATGCTCGATAAGAATCAATATCATATTTAATACATAAAATTGTGCAAAAATGAATATTTTTATTTTATTCTTTTTCAGAGGTTCACAGTTCAATTCTATTTTTTTATAAGGAATAAAAATAATCATGTAATATTTGCCGAAAAATTAATATTTTCTTATAATATTCTAATTAAATTCTTAAAGAAAAAATCAAAAAAACACGAATTTATGCATCTGTTGCATTGTTTCATTCTATAGTCACGGCATAAAATTTATCTAGGCGTTATCGACGTCTTAGATCTATATTGGGACACATCTACAGTTTCTCTTATTGCTCATTGTTCGTTAATACAGTTTGATCGAAGATATCGTTTTATATCATGGTATCGGAGAATTTGTGCCGTATAAATGTTAAGTCGATGGAAAATTTAATTGAAAGTTAAAGAAGGAGGCAAGACAGAGAACTGTGCCATCGACGTTTCTTTTTACACAACATGGAACAAGACGCCATCTCCAAAGTATACTAATCCTCTCTTGATAAAATAGAAAGACAGAATCCAAACGAAAAATAAATATTATTAATCCTGCAAAATTTTAACTATTTTATTATAATAATTATTATATTAATGCATCATTGAAAATTTGACGTTTATGATTATTACATGAATTAAAAATTACTCCTAATTTATGATTAATAAAAGTAACATATAAAATGTCTATTTTTGTGACTATTTATTGATCAATTGTGTGTTTGACGAATATACATGGACATTGTAATTTTCCATTGTTTCTGTGTGTTCTTATTCGCGAAAACAAGGTAATCGAATTATTTGCCCCCGGCTATTTCCTTTTAATCATCATCGAAATAAGAATTACTATATTTAGTAGGATTCCTTGGTTTCATTCGTGTTTCTAGTCTATTCGTTGCCAATTTACTTCAATCGTGCATCTCGTATGCGTGCTATTGAGAAGAGTGACTTCACCATAGGTGGTATATGATAATTGGTCGATTACTTCTACGAAGGAGCTTTTTAAGATAATTACGACAATCGCTTGTAAACTCGAAGAAAATACCACTCGATTTATCGCGCAAACTTATTTCCGATGCATGTGTATAAGTAATAGGAAGATAGCAAAATCAGTCTGATTTGGAAATAAGCGTTATCTGAACGGTTGCAAACTAATCGTGTCAGATACTTCGATCAAAAGATTATCTTCGTATTTTATTTTATAGGCATTGGCGATAGCTAATGTCTCCAGCCGACAAGCAAAACATATTTACAATAATTGAAAATGTAACGCAAACATAAGTCTGATTGCTTAATATCGAAATATATGAATATGCTCGCGTCTTCTTAAATATGCGCTATTGAATTTTTCCACATGTCACATGTTGCTGAATTCCTTGACATGTAAATGTTACATGTTGTTGAAATGATAACTGTTAAGTTATGTCATACTTTATAGATTAACAAGACTAATAAGAAGTTCGTAACGAATGTACAACTGATCGCAAAATATCTGACCAAAAAAGATATATATTTTAATCGTCACAATTATTTCTTGGTATTATATTTACAAATCATATTATTCGACATTTTGATAGGTAAAGAGATGAAGAAAAAAAGAGTTAAGTAACGATTATATAAGGAAAAATTATTTAAGCAATTACGAACGAAATAAGATTGATTTTCAATTAATCAAGAAGAAAATATAAGATATCGTAAAGAATATATCGGGAATATTGCATCGTTGATACGAGAATTATAGGAAAGTGAATCGTAAAGCGTGTTTACTCTGAGCAACCTATACTTCTGTCCGATTCGTTTTAGTAACCTTTCCAATGCCGCTTCGCTATTGCTTCGCTAGAACGATGCTATTCTCTGGAAATTGTCTGGTAAATGGTGATCCCGGAATAGCCGTATTCTCGAGAGCAGAAGCTAGAGCAAAGTTACTGAAACGCCCGACAAGGCTGCATACAATCTACCAGCCAATCGATGGAATCAATTTGCATAATGTATACATGCGAAAGTGTATGTTCCACAATGCTCTCCGATACTGCTGTTGTCTTTGCCCGATGATATCGAAGTTAGAGTGGGGATCTCGCGCTATGTTTGTATGCGATGCGATTAAGATTCTTGATAGGATTTTTGTGGTACGAAGAAACGTAACCGTTTAATGACAAATACATATATCGCGTTTTTAACGGTCCATCGAAACATTGATGAAATCTTGAAATTGGCTGCGTATCAAATAATCGTTCAATTAAACACTCATGAAATGTATTCGGTTATTTGTATTATGCATTAATATTTACAATATTTATATATTTTTTCCACGAAATCAAATAAATCTGTAATGCTATTACAATTCTCGTTAAATCTAGTTTATTTTAATCATACGATATGTTGAATAAGAAGCGTATAACTAAAAGAGTTCAATTCGTTATTATCCAATGTATATTCAAAAGAATACGATTATTTCTTTCATTTTCTAATTCGATTCGATTTTGCGCTTTTATTCTGTTCAATGGATTTCAATATCATTTGTTATGATGTGTATTAAACGATATGTGAGAGTTTCTTAATCTTATCGATATAATGAAATTTCTTCAAATTATATTTCTAATATATTTTTAACAAAATTAATAAAGTTTTTGATTATTCATATCGATCGAATAACATAATTAAATGTTTTTCGTATAAAAGAAATATAGCTGAATTCTACATATTCCATATATATATGGAAATAAAAATAAAATTATCTGTAAATAATAATATTGAAATAATTAACAATAATATACGTACATATAACATATATATTGTATCATTTAAAATCTCTTTATTTTTAAATTACAATGACGAACAAGAAAATCAATAAATAATTTGGGATTTAGATTTTAAATTGATAATGGTACATATATTAACATTAATTTTTAATTTAAACGAAGAAAAAGAAAGTGTTATCAATTCAGTAAATATGAATTGCGGTGCATCGGCCCTGCAAGGTAATTTGCAATCGAGCGAGGGCGCGAGTTTCGTTCGCGGTCGGACGTCGTGGTTGGTTCGACTACGGAGTACGAACACAGCCGATCGCAACCGAAAATGGCCGAACGCGCAAAGCGCCAGCGCTGAGCCTGAACGGAGCGCTCGGGTCAAAATATATTCAGTATATTCTAAACAAGCGCGCGACGTGCTTACACGTCTTGTTCGTGCGCGCGAATTCGTGTCTCGTTGGACGAAACGCTGAAATTTCAACGGTGACTTTGTATCAGTGTTACGATTAATACATAATAACATAAAATCAGTGCGTACGGAATTATTTCGAAATGAGTTCATGATCTCTTGATAAATTGAACGGTTTTCGTGTGTTAATTCGGAAGAGAAACAACGCGGCAGAAGATACGAGAGGAAAGACTGCCAACTGTGAGTCCGGTATTATACGCGCCCGCGATCCGTTCTTAACTCTTTTTCTTTCTCATTCTTTCGTTTTCTCTTCATTCCTTACCTATTTTCTTCTACCTCTTTCTTTGATTTCATTTCTCTCTTCACTCTATTCTTTTTCCCTTCTCCATT